ATATACTTAAATCCAGTTAAGTATTGTAAAGCTTTTGTCTTTATAAACCTTCTGTTGGTTACAAACTTGTGCACCATTGGCTAGCAGAAAACAGCATCATTCAAACCTGATCAGTACTGGCTATACATCTGTATGGTTTGTTGAATCCGTGTGTGTGTGTGTGTATGACAGGAGACACAATTATCCTTAAGAACCTTAGTTTTAAGTCCAGAGTTTTAGCTGATAGTTCTAAAAATGTCAAAACAATTAATAGCTGTTGCTGACATAACATAGAACTTTTTGCCTGGTACAGTAGCTACAAAACAATCATTATGCAGTTCCAAACACTTCACAGCAATAGTGAGAACTAGGTACTCTTAAAATTAAAATCAGAGGTCATAAACTCACAAATTCAAATTTTAATTTAATTCTTTTTTTTATTTAGCACACTAATAATTTTTATCATTTTGTGAATTTCATTAAATTTAATCTGGTGTGTAAAGAATACATAAATCTGTAACCTTCTGTTTTATCAAGACTGGTTAACAGTTCAATAAATTGAGGTTTTGATTGTGATCTACTTTTAAAACGTTTGAATTGCTCAAGTATGAAACTACAGCAATGTAATGCAGCAGTAACAATGATGAAATATTGGACTTGTCAAATGTATGTAAAAACTTAATTTTACACACTTTTTTCATGGAGCATATTCCCTTAGTCAACAATATTATTACTGATCTAATGTCTTGAAATTATAAAACCAACATATATTCATTTAACACTTTTTCTGAACATATTAGAATTGACTTAGTGTGTTAAATATTTGCTTTTTTTCTTATACATTTTAATCTTACAGTCTGCATGGAATTATTAAAATATAAAATGTTATGTTGGTATACTAAGTTCCTTTATCAACTTGAGGTAGAATTCTTGAATGAAAGGATAGACAATTCTGTATGTATTTCTTTATTACATTTTGATTACTAAGGGTTTTAACCAACTCAAAATTCTAAATTTTTGTAAAAGGGGTTTTTTTTTTGTTTAGCGAGATGCTACTCTCGGAAATAGATATCAGTGTCATGAAACCAAATATTAACTACACCTATGTCAGTGAACACCACAAAATAGTTTGGTTTATATATATCCATGTTTATTTAATCATACAAAATATTTTGTTGTTACTTTGTTGTTTTTTTTATATTAAAAGAAAATGGCTGTAAAAGTTTTTGGTCTTTTTATTAAATTAGATAACTTAATTGAAATTTTAGCTTGATAGATCATACAAAACATCTGAACAAGTAGTAAATAACCTGCATGGACCATCGTAAATTGATCTTAAGCCTAGGCTGAACTCTAGCATAGCATAAAGAAAATGAATGGTTGTTTTGTACCAAGTAAAATTACCTTTCTTTGTTCAGATATTTATCATTGATTCTTAAAATGATACAGTCTCAAATATTTTACACAGGAAATTTGACAAAAGTAAGACTTTTAGTTTTCACTTGAAATTCAATCTAGATATTTTTGTAGTTTTCTAGTATGTCATCATAGGAGTAGTAAACTAAAGTAATTTTCAACTGTAAAAGCTACATTGTGCAATACATGGCATTTATTTATCCAAGTTTGATCTGTGTTTGAAATACATGAAACATTTATCTAGGTTAGCTGAGAATTTAAAATACATGAAACATTTATCTAGGTTAGCTGAGAGTTTGAAATACTGGACACATTTTTACATTTTACAGCTCTGATTGTAAAGTATATGACACATTTATCAAAGATAGCTCAGTGTGTGTAACACTTGACACATTTATCAAAGATAGCCCAGTGTGTGAAATACTTGACACATTTATCAAAGATAGCTCAGTGTGTGAAATACTTGACACATTTATCAAAGATAGCTCAGTGTGTGTAACAAATTTGACAGTTTGAAATACTGGACACATTTTTACATTTTACAGCTCTGATTGTAAA